AAAAAAAAAAAAAAAAAAATTAGAAACATTTCCTGAAAGCCTGCTGTTCTGGAAGCACTGGACTAGGACGGATAATATGAGTAAGGCCATCCTGAGCCCTCACATGTGGTCGTGGTCACAGGCGAGAGACAGACAATCCAGTGACTGGGCCGTGGGAGCCCACAGGAGCTGCCTGACCATACTTGGGAGTCAGGGAAGGATGCGCCCAGAGATGTTTGAGCTGAAACCTGAAGGAGGGTGGGTCACGGGGCCAATCGACAACAGAACCTTGTCACGAGCGGCAATGACACAAGAGGGGTGTGGTATAATGAAGAGTAAGGCAAGTGTTCTTCATCTGAGGTCCCTGAGCTTCAGGACATCTAGGAACGCTTTGAAATCAAGTGCACAATTTTGCAAGTGTTAGGTTAGACGCGGTCTTTGCTTGCCTGGAACATCCCTTCCTCCCTTCCTTCCTTTTCTGGTAACAGCACCCACCATCCCCCCTCTCCCCACCTTTGAAAAGCAGTCCTTCCTGGATTCCACACGGTTCTGATGGCTCAAAGTCAGAGAACCCCTACTGCTTGGGCAAGCGACAAAGGCCTGGCCCATCACGGCACCCGACTCCTCCTCCTTCAACCGTTGATTGGTGCGAGAAGCTGACACATGACCCACAGGGAGCCAATCACGGCCTTTCTCTGGCATTTACACTAGGACGACGTAGCAACCCGCAGCTGTCTGTAGTAGTAGCTCTTGAACCCCAGAGTCCTTCCTAGAAACCCATCCTAGAGAAAAGCCTGCACATGGGCACAATGAAGGACGCACCAGGATGGCCACTGAGGAACTAGGAGGAGAAGTGGAAGAGAGAGAGAAGCTTGGCTTAGTCCACTCCAACCCTCACTTCTCAGCTACACAAGAAAATGTCTTTTGGGCAAAGTTGGTTTTCTCTCAGCTGCCTAAGTCCTAACGTATGTACAATTTTATGGAGTGAAGCCCATCACTCAGATTCTTTAAGTTTATGACCTTAAGAGCATTCAAACCTTCCTTGGTATAGGTTTTGGAGTCAGGCAGATCTGGGTTTGAATCTCTGAATCTCTGAATCTTCATCATTTATTAGATGTGTGGCCACCTGCAAATTAACTATTTTGAGGCTGTATTCTTCACCCATAAAATGGGGATAATACCTACTTCCAAACACTGCAATGCTTATCGCCTAGCCTGGGACAGAGGAGCTAAATAGTAACTAGAATTCAAGTCCACTCTTTCTCGCAGTGATGACTAACATGGAAAATCAGTGACAGGAACCAGGGCATACAGCCTGGAAAACTACACTCAAAAGGCCACAATTTGAGGCTCCTGGGTAGCTAATTTGGTTAAGTGTCTGACTCTTAATTTCAGCTCAGGTCATGATCTGAGTCATGGGATCGAGCCCCGCACCAGGCTCTATGCTCAGCAGGGAGTCTGCTTGAGATTCTCTCTCCCTCTGCCCCTCCCCCATCCCTCTCTAGAATTAAAAAAAAAAAAGGCCACAATTCGCCTTCATCTGGAATTAGCAATGCTTTCACCCACTCTCCCTGCAGTCTCTCAGGGCCATCACGGAACACAGTTCAGAGATTCGATCTCTGCAGTCTCAGGGGGGAACTCAGGCCATCCCTGGGAGTAATTAGAGCCAGAAAGGGGGTTTCTACTGATGAAGCACCTGTGAGCTGGCGGAGTGGTTTCCCATGGGAGCACATTTTCCGGTAAACACCTGGGTTAGGTGACGCTAGAGTGGCTTCATAGGTAACTCCTGCTGGAGGGGAGGCAGTAAGAGCAAAAGGCCTTAGAAGGCTATGGATACTGAGCCCGGGATCCCGAGAAAAGGATCCGGAATGAAATGAGCATTCCTCCCAGCTGCAAACTGCCTATGCGCACGTGGGCCCAACTGAGTACCATGGCTCTGGAGTCTCAACCTTGTAGATTTCCTGGGTCCCCTCGATTCTCTGCCACAGTGTCTCTGACCATCTCTGGGTCTCTTGGTGATGGCTTGCAGAGTTTCTCTGCTTCTGAGCTCTCCCCTCTCTGGCTGTCCATCCTCATGTCTCAGCCTGTTTTTTTTCAGCTCACCATGCTCACCCCTCTTCCCTCTCATAGTCTGGTCACGTCTCTCGTCGTTTCTCTTATCTTCAGGTCTGATATTCTCTCCAACCAGCCCTCTCCATTTGACCCTTTCCATTCCTCGTCGGTTCTCCAACTGACTTTCTCATTTGCTTGTTCAGTCGTGTTTTTTTTTTTCCTGACGCTCCATTTTTCTCTCTCTCCAGTTCCCAGTCTGTTACTGCCTCTCCCTCCATCATGACTATTCATCTGCATTTCCCCACCTAACCTTTTGTCTCCCAGTTCTGACGCTTTACTAGCTAACAGCGCTCCTCACTCATCAGGTACTATTCTAAATCACCTATGTATATCTATATGCACAACTACATACATACACACAGCTACACTTTCCTCGTGTTAAAAAGGTGCTATTTGGGGGTACCTGGGTGGTAGAGCTGGTTAAGTGTCTCTTGGTTTCAACTCAAGTCATGATCTCAGGGTCATGAGATCAAGCTCCACATCGCTGGACTCTCTCTCTCCCTCTGCCCCTCCCTCCCTCCTTTAAAATAAATCTTAAAAAAAAAAAAAAAAGGTGCTATTATCACTCCCTATTGTACTGAGCCAACGACAGGTTAAGTACACAGTGAGACAAGGAATTCAAATCCAGGGAGTCAGGCTCCCATTTACTCCTCTTCATCTTCTCAGTGTGATTCTCCGTGGTCTGGCTTTTAAACTTGACACTGTCTTTTCAGTTCTCTTTGCTCTCCAAGTTTACCAAATGCACCCTCTCTCCATCGAGCCCCATTTCTCCACACTCCAGATGGCTCTCTTCACTGGTCTGCCCTAATCACCCAGTTCCCATCTATCTCACTCACTTCCCACCTCCGGCTTTCTCTCCAAGTCTCTTTCCCTTGGCTGCTCTTCCCCTTTCTCAGTCCCTCCATCAGCTTTTGCCAGGTTCTCCCTATTCCACTGCCTCCATCTCTATCTATCAGTCTCTCACCATTAATGAAGAAAAATCTAAGATGGAGCTGGGAGGCCAGAAGGATGGGGGAAGCTCTCCTGCGATACCACCTGAAGTTAGTACTGGAAGAACTGTCCATTACAGGCTCCAACAGAATTGCCGACAGGAAAGAATCATCAATTACAGGTGCCAACAGGGAAGGAAGTACAGCTGCATCTCCCACAAGAAAGCGACCACCCCAGCAACTCAGCCAATGAGAAACCACCAAAACCCTGAACTCTTACTCTTCTCCAACCTACTTTCCATTCAAAACAACCCCTCCCAACTTCCTCCTCCTTCTCCATAAAATTATCTTCTCTTTGGTTGGACTAGCCAATGGTTTTTGCTGTAGCTGGCTTGTCCCAAATTGCAACTCGCAGTTATCCCCAAGTAAACCCATTTTGGCTGGTAAAATAACTTTTAAGGTCAACGAGTGTTTTGTTCCTCCGTTTGAACCGCCCTCTCCCTCAGTCTCTTTCTGTTCGCTAGTTTCCCACCTCCCCAAGTTCACGGCGCGACCACATTTCTCTGCAGCCTCGGGGAGGCGCTCTGGGGGGGACCCCATCAGCTCCTTGTCCTCCATGGCCCCAGTTTGCGGCTTCCGTCCTCTCTCCGCCTCCCCGTCTCTCGGTCCCTCAGCTTCTCCGAGCTTCTTTTCGTGGCTCCCATTTCTTCCAGTTTCGAGTCTCTGTGTCGCCCAGGTGCTGTCGGGGCGCTCAGGCTCCATCTCCGTCCGCTTCTCCCGGGCCCCATGTCTCCTCCAACACATGTTCCCATGTTGGAACTTCCCTCCCCACCCCTCGGCTCGCTCCCCAACTACCCAAGCCGGTCGGACACCCACCGCCTCCGCCGCCACGGCCCCGCACAGCAGCCCCGCCACCCTCACCTCACTAACAGCCGGAATCGCTCCTACTTCCGGTCCCCAGCGCCCCTCCCGCGCCCGAAGCCGCTTCTGCGCCTGCGCGCGCCACCTTCACTGCCAGGCCCCACCCCGCCGCAGGCAGAGGAGCCAGTGTGCAACTGGGAGCGGCCAAAACGCACTCTGCGCCTGCGCACAACACGCTCCAGCTCCGCCTCTCTTCGAGGGGTGCCAGGGGTGACGCTGCGCCGTCTAGAGGTCGGCGGTAGCGCTGCAGCGGAGACTTGCAAGCGCCTCCGCCCGGGCGCGCGCTCTACCCTACCGGTGAATCGTCTTTGCAACGGATCGCCCGACGCCAGAGAGAAAGCTGGCGGAAGCCCAGACACTATTAAACTGCTTCTGTTGGGGCGCCTGGGTGGCTCAGTCGTTAAGCGTCTGCCTTCGGCTCAGGTCGTGATCCCAGGGTCCTGGGATCGAGCCCCACATCGGGCTCCCTGCTCAGCGGGAGGCCTGCTTCTCCCTCTCCCACTCCCCCTGCTTGTGTTCCCTCTCTCGCTGTGTCTCTCTCTGTGAAATAAGTAAATAAAATCTTAAAAAATAATAAAAATAAAAAATAAACTGCTCCGGTGATTTATTCACTGTAATTCATAATTATTAATGCATAATTCTATTAACGTATAATTCACTAACAAATAATTCACTAACAAATAATTCAACTCCCCAAATTGAAGGCAGGGGCCATTCTTGTCTTGGAGGTCCTGTGTTGTCCAGCGTCCACCACAAGTATCAGAGAGTCGGTAAATGTTGTTGAATGAATGACTAAATGAATGAGAAAATAGAGTCCTCTCTAGTCCTAGGTGCCCCAGTCATTGTGGGTCTCAGCCTCAGTTTCCCTATTTATAACAGGATAATATCTGCTTTTCAAGATTGTTGGGGAAAGTAAGCGAAAATATATACATAAGGTACATAAATTGCTTTTTCATTAATGTACATAGTAGGCACTCAATAAATGTTAGATCTTTCATTTATAGTATATCCTCCCATCATTCTCCTTTTTCCTTAAGAGAATGTTGCCGCTGAGAAGGTACAGCCTTCAGTTCCGGAGCCAGTTTTAGGTACTGAGAACATAGCAGTGAACAAAACGGATCAAGTCCCTGCTCCCGTGGAGCTCGGGTTTTAGTAGGAGAAACAGACAGTTAAATATCTTTACTTAAATAAAAATAAAAAGAATGTCAAGCAGTACCACCACGCTCTATGGAGAAAAACAAAGCAGGAAAGGGGCAAGGAGTCATGTTATTTTAAGTAGTGTGGTCAGAGAGGACAGCTCCAAGGAAGCAATATTTGAGCAGAAATAAGTGAGGCAGCAAGCCATGGAGATCCCTGGAGGTGAAGGAAATCGCAAATGCAGATTGCCATGGCAACATAGTTGGTGGGTTCAGAGGTCAGCAAGCTGGCTTGTGTGGAGGGAGTGAAGGAGGGGGGAATAGCAGGAAATGAGGTGAGGAAAGGAGGAGAGTAGATCAGGCACACCACGGTGAGCACTTTGGCTTCTCATGTGAGTGAGGTGGGAGCCATGGGAGGAGTTTAGCAGAGGAAGGACCTGAGACACGATCTGAGTTAGATTTTTTTTAATTTTTTAATTTTTTTTTTAAAGATTTTATTTATTTATTTGAGAGAGAGAGAATGAGAGACAGAGAGCATG